ATTTGATATATTTATGTATTATATATTTGAAAATTTTGGGTTTTTTTTTTTAAAATTTTTTTTTTAAAAAAAAAAAAAAATTATTATTTTTTTTTTTTTTAAAAAAAAAATTTTTTTTAAAAACCCCAAAAAAAAAAAAAAAACCCCCCAAAAAAAAAATTTTAAAAAAAAATTTTTTTTTTTTAAAAACCCCAAAAACCCCCCCCCTTTTTCCCCCTTAAAATTTTAAAAAAAAAAATTAAAAAAAAAAATTTTTTCCCTTTAAAAAAAAAATTCCCCCCCCCTTTTAAAAATTTTCCCCAAAAAAAAAAAATTTAAAAAAAAAAAAAAAAAAATTAAAAAAAACCTTTTAAAAAAAATTAAAAAAAAACCCCCCCTATTATTGGATAAAAAATCAAACTTATTATCTATTATAAAAAATTTAAAGGCAGTATTATATCCTCAAAAATAACAACACACCAACGAAGTCAAAATTAAAATAGTGTCCTATGAGTTCAAATGCCTTTAAGGAACTAGATTTCCTCGCAAACGAGACTCATAAATAATTACATCGGCTACAACCACATATTTATCAGATATCTTACATTACACCTATCTGATCACAGTTCCATCAGAACACAAAAAAACACCCAATTTATAAATTTTAGTAAGATCTAAAATAGAAATGACTAATATAGTTTCATCAAAAAAATGCTAAAATAATGGAACTCTAATTGTTGTAAAAAAAGAAAATGACAGGTTCACAAGGCAATTTTGAACATCATTTTGTGCTAAATAATTTGGTATAAAAATCACTACACTGAAGTATTGTACATAGAGACTCTGAAATTATGAGATCACCCATTGAACCATCCTTGATCTTTGTCAATTACAACCCTTCCTTAAAATATTGTTTACTCTTGCAAAGAACATATATATATATATATATATACACATACATACACACAGTCCTTGAATAAATTTTTTCTGTTTTAAATAATTATTTTTTTTTAATAATAAGATGAAAAAAAAAAAAAAAAAAAAAAAAAAAAAAAAAATTATTATATATATATAAAAAAAAAAAAAAAAAAAAAAAAAAAAAAAAAAAAAAAAAAAATTTTTTTTTTTTTTTTTTTTTTTTTTTTTTTTTTTTTTTTTTTTTTTATATATATATAAAAAGGTTTTTTTTAATAAGGTTTAAATTTTAAAAAACCCTTTAAAAAAATGGGCCAAAATTTTAAAAAAATTCAGGGGTTTTTTTTTTAAATTTTGTTAAAAAAAATTTTTTCCCCCAAAAATTAAAAAACCCCCAAAAACCCCTTTTTCGTTTTAAGAAAAAAAAAGGAAATTTTGCCAAAAAAAAAAAAGGGTTTAAAATTTAAAAATTTTAAAATTTAAAATTAAAAAAAAAAAAAAAAAAAAAAAAAAAAAAAAAAAAAAAAAAAAAAAAAAAAAAAAAAAAAATTAAAAATTAAAAATTTAATTTTAAAATTTAAAAATAATAATATTTTTTTTTTTTTTTTTTTTATATTATTATAATTATTAATTTTTTTTTTTTTTTTTTTTTTTTTTTTTTTTTTTAAAAATATATATATATTATATATATTATATATTATATAAAAAAAAAAAAAATAAATTTTTTTAAAAAAAAAAACCAATTTTTTTTTAAAAAAAAAAAAGGGGGCCGGATTGAAAAAAAAATTTCCCAAAAAGAAACCCCTTTTTTTTTTTTTGGGGAAAAAAAATTTTTTAAAAAAACCCCCAAACAGGAAAAATTTTTAAAATTTTAAAATTTTTTTTTTTAAAAAAAAAAAAAAAAAGGGCCCGGGGTTTTTTTTTTAAAAAAAATTTTTTTTTGGGGTTAAAATTTTTTTTTGGATAATTTTTAAAAAAATTTTTTTAAATTTTAAAAAAAAAAAATTTTAAAATTTTAAAAAAAATTTAAAATAAAATTTTTAAAAAATTTTTTAAAAAAAATTTTTTTTTTTTTTTAAAAAAATTTTTTTTTGGGAAAAATTTTTTTTTTATTTGTGTGTATATATATATATATAATGTGTATGTGAATATATATTATTATATATAAGGCTGGTGTTGTCATGGATACCATTATACAACCAGAAAATGTTGGTGTGCTAAATGATATATATATAATGAGACATGTGTGTGTATATATTTCTAAGAATCTAAAAAATTGTATAATAAAATTTCTATGTGTGTCATATATATATATATAAGATTGGCTTTCCACTTAATGTGTGTATACCCAGGCAAATATATATATAGTGTGTGTGTGTGTATATATCATTAGGCCCATCATCTCAGGTATATATATATATATAATATATATGTGTATATAACTAAATTTCTAACTCCAATGTATATATACCGTCAGTAACGCACATGTGTGTATATATATATCTCTTCTAAATAAGTATAAATGTGTGTGTGTATATATAAATCACTAGTGCTTGAACGTATATATATATATATGCCTGTGTGTGTGTCATTAATATTAGAAGAATGTGTGTGTGTAATTGACTTATATAGTGTACCTATCTCTATATATATATAATGTTGTGTTCATATATTTGCACCCACGTTGTTTCTGTATATATATATATATATTATATAAAATTTGGTTATATATATATATATATAATGTGTGTGTGTGTATATTTATATAATTTGTTGAATGGACCTTTATAAAATGTCATGTGTGTATATATATATACTTAATTTGTGTGTGTATATATATATACCCACATATGTGCAGTTTATATATATATGTGTATGTGTATATATAATATAATGTGAACCTGTGTATATAATTTACCTATGAACTTGAATCTATGTGTATGTGTGTATTTATATACATACTATGTGTGTTAAAAATAAAATAAATTAAATTCAAAGTATATATATATATATGTAAAAATGACTATTTACATTTTACTCTCACCATGTGTGTGTATATACTAAGTAGGGGCATTGTTATTGGATTCTATTTAGGTGTGTGTGCATCTGTTCATCAAAATATTTAAATGATGAATTCACATATATTGAGGATACCTTTTCAAATCTTTTCATTATCCGAAAGACAATTATTACAGAGAGCTAAAAAAAAATTGAAAATTCACTCATTGCCAAAAATTCACCTCGAATCACTACAATTACATCAATGAAAATACAATTTCAGTTGCCTCTGATAATATTTTGTTTGGTCGCATCTTTCTACCAAATAACCATTTGACGAACGTATCTCTCATAATCTAAATGCATTAAAAAATTAGAACTACTATATTACCTACTAGGGCTATCCGGAGTTTATTAAATAGCACCAGCAGACAACATATTACATCCGATGCTTGCATCTATCAAATATCATGTAAAAACTGTGACCTAAAATATGTGGGTGAAACATGTAGGTCCGTAAAATCTTGTGTTCGAACATAAGCGAGATATTACGCCTCGGAAATTTTAACAATGCTTTAGTTGTACACACAACTAAAGCAGATCATAATTCGATTTCGATTCGTGAAGGTGTTAAAATATTTTCATAATAAAAAATCTCAGGAGGATTTATGAAGCAGGTATAATATCCATCTCACGCGACGGTGAATACTAGACCTGGTTTCTTTAATATTTCCCCTTTTTAGCGAGATTAATGCTCGACAAGCATACACATAAAAATTTTAGATCTAATAGAATTCTTTTTCATTTTTTTTCATTTCAAAATAATCAAAAAATTTAGGAATACATTTTGAAAGCATCCCATATGTGACGACAACATGACCTTGTTAAGCGGAAAGCTGATCATTTTAAAAATTTTCAGTTATCTGTTTTGGATAAGACTTGTTTTTTATGTCCATCGTCTTTGTCAAATTGAACTGAATTGTATTTTTAATGAAAAGGTTTATTAAACGTCAGACGTCGACATTTCATTCATTTTAAACAAATATAATTGCATTTAAGGATTTTTGTTTGTTTTTTTTTCCAAATTTTTTCATTCTGTCGGATTTATATCCATTTACATTTATATTATATATATATATATATATATATATATATATATATATATATATATATATATATATATATATATATAATGTATATAATGTATATATATATATATATATATATATGTGTGTGTGTGTATACTAGCAGTAGAGCCCGGCGTTGCCCTGGGTTATAACAGTAAGAGGTAGATCAAGTATCCACCATCATAAAGACTGAAAGATAAAATTGACAAAGATTATTGTTTAAGGTCGACAGACATGGATGTCTTAATAATTTTTTTTTTTTTTTTTTTCACGAATTGGTCAAACCTAAACTCAAACAAAAACATTGTTTTCAATCGTTATGAGTCTCCCAGTTGAATAGAATTTTGTCATAAATAATTGTCTTGTAAATGGAATTTTTAAAGCATTCTGAATGTTAAAAATAAAGAAAAATGTGTGCAAGAGAATAAGAAACATTACCTGCCAAAAAAAAAAAAAAAGTGAAGTTTTTTTTATAAGCTGAAAAATATAGGAAATCTGGCTCCCATATTTAAAGGAACCCACACACACAAACAACCCGATGTGAGTTGTCCCCCTTCCATTTTCACGATGTCTCTTAATCATGTTTTCAAATTGATTTTGTGCAAAAACAATTATATTTTTCACATTTTTGGCGCTGTTAGAACCACCACAAGGTAATTTTATGTAGTCCTTTGAAGTTTTGTTGAAATCGGTTGAAAAATGTAGGACATCCGATCCAATATATAAATGTTACAGACACACACACACTCTGCGTTTTATAATAAGTAAGATATATTCTTATTTTGATTCCAAAAATTCATCCACTGACTGAAATTTGTTGAAAATGTTCATTTACATAATGATATCCTGATTCAAATTGTATGAAATTTTATATATATATATATATATATATATATATATATATATGCACACAGACACACAGATGACTGATTTATCAGAACAACCATAATCTTGGTACTTGCTTTTTGACTCTTGTGCTAAATGATCTTCTGGCAAACTTTACCCTGGTTTGTACATTAATGTGTCAGAAACTTTTTTTTATTTCAGTTTGTTACTATTTGTACTATAGTTGACCTTTCACTAGCTCTGTGAAACTGGGTGCAGTAACATTTACATTCCTAATAGGTCAGAGGCCTTGGTACTTGGGTGACATAATCTGTATTGTTATATGTGTATAGATCAATAGTTCCTATTTAATGACTGAGAAAACAGTTGGTCTTAAAAGATTATTTATTTCTTTAGTAATTCAACCTGTTTAAGTATGAAGATTGAGTAGTTATTTCATGTAGATTTAATTGGTACCCATTTTATTTCTTTGATTTCACTGTTCCCCGCTCCTGAAAGTTAAATGAAGAAAGGCTTAAATACATCATATTTTCTTTGTAGGTGTTAGAGAAAACAGAAAATCTTATGAGCTGCTTCTGTTAAAAAGACCTATTACATGAATTATATTGGTTGATTATTCCACATCATTACATACATAATTCAGCTGAATTAACATATCTTAGGAGAATCTCATATGATTTTATAAATAAACTGTAACATGAAAATATAATTGCACATCATGGATAATTTTTTTCTTTCAACAAACATTTCAATAGTTATTCTGGGTTTTATTGTAATTCTGAAATATTGATAAAATAAAAGCCTTTATATACTTGGTGTTGGCTTGCTGACTGACATTTGTGTTTTTGCCATATAAGGAAGTACTGAAAAGCCCTTGACCTGACTAAGAGGGGATTTTACATTCTGTTGTGATCATCTGGTCAGATTTTGTTGAATGAGGTTGAAAATTTTCAGCATCCCATTGTAAAAAATCATGTCACACTTTGCACTTAACATTGGTGAAGTCTTGAAATATCTTCATTGTTGTTCATTACAATTGTCAAATCTGTGGTTGGTTAAAACATAAATTGCCAAGAGAAAAACTATTACTTAACAATATTAGATTCTATATTTATCAATTTTTCTAAACCTTGTAAATTCTTAATTACACATTTTTGTATAACATCAGATTAGTTAAGTTTAAAAATGATTTCACATGAGCTTTTAGTTCATACCTATTTAAAACGAAGCACACAGTATCATTTTTAGTAAAATGTAATCAATGCATTCAATAGTAACTCATTTTATGCACTAAGATCATTAAAAGAATGAATGTTAGTATATTTTAGATGTTTTTTTGTCTGATGTTATTAAATTCTCATTTTCTTTCTTTTGTGGACATTTCAATGAATTCTTGAAAAACTCTTTAATATAAATCTGAGATTTGATTGACTCTCTTGATCTTTACTTGTCTTTTCAGGCTTGTATATATATTGATATAAATATTTGTCATGAGTTTGTTTTAAATGCAGATTTTGAAAGCCATTATTAAGATGGAGATATATGATTCTTCAAGATTGCAATTACTACAGCTGTAGATGTGGTAGTAGTATAATGCATATATCCAGGTTCAAATTCCAGTCTAGTTTGTTGCATTCATTTTTATACAAATGCCATTGAAAAAGGCCTGATTCTCTTCCAGCAATGGGCTAAATCGTAGGGTAAACTGAACTGTTTAGCCTTGGGTGACAACCAGTCTAAGAAAAGGAAAATTTAAATTTAAAATACAGAAGGCAGCAATGGAAGCCATTTCACTATCTTTTCCAAGAATGCATGGCAATTCACAGAATAAAAAGAAGTCTGTGAAGAATCCTAAACTGAAGAGACATGGCATTTAGATTGTGCTGTATCTAGAAATAATAGCACAAACCTGTTATTAATTACATGTTAACTAAAAAGGTGGCCACTTTTGCTGGCAAATAGAAAGAACTGTTCAATTTTTTTCTTAAATTCTTTTAATTTTTTATTTTAGAATTGTTTGAGCAGGAATTAATTTTAAAAAATGTCTTAGGTTTAGAATTTTTAACATTGAAAATACATCTACTCTTTAGCATATGCACTTACACAAAATAAATTTTGAAATGATCACGAGAGAAAAAGAAAGGAAAAATTTAGGTATTTCCAACTCACAGTAATTAATAGACGGAATATAAATTGTTTTTGTATTTTCACTATTGATGATTTGTTTGTAGCTAAATTTATTCTGTATATATAAATATTAATTTCTTTGTTGAGAGTATAGACAAAATTCTATTTCTTTTTAGCTTTATGATTTTCATTGTTTTTCTAGGCAGCCTGCTCATCTGTTCCAGTAATATTTTTATCAGTGTCTGTTAAGTAACCTTCTTGGAAATAAGGTTCCAAAATACACATAGCCCAAGAGATTAAAGCATTGTTTAAAGTATGTCTAGGATCCTGGTAGTTGACTTCACTTTCTAGGTTGGGGGTAGTATAGAAAAATCTTATATATTTAAGTTTAGTTGAAGAAACTGACAAGTGACACACAAGTGAATAGACTAGAGATAATTAACTGATACAAGATATCATTTTGAAATGCAGAATGAGAACAATCCAAAATTCCAAGATGGTTACCAAGTATGAAGGCAGAGACTTAAAAGAAAAAGGCTGGAAGGTATAACCATCCAGATGTTGTAACAACTGAGATAAGCACAGTGGTGTTCAAATAGAAAGACATTTAATAATGAAAATGACGCCTTTTGAAGTTTTATAAAATAGTGCAAGATTTTTTTTTTTTTAATTCTTGCTGAAATGTTTGCAAGTTTTTGAGAGATAATGTATCAATAACAATTTCTTAATTTGAAGATGTGGGGGAGGAATCAGTTAACCAAAATCCTTCTTACACTTTTTGGATATGGCTAAAATGACATGAAAAATACATAATTTTAAAAAAAAAGATTTACAAGCAACCCTACTCAAATTTAAGTAAATCTTAAGCAACTCCACTATTAACATTAGTATGGCTTAATCAGCTCAAGAAAACAAAAAATACATAAAATTAAGCAAAAATTCTTACTAAATATGTTATTTTATACTGTATTCAAGAATTCTCCTAATTTAGTTACATTGAAATGTCTTTCTCTATTTGTTAAATCTGGGCATAAAAATATCAAAGCAACTTGAATACTGATTTTAACTCAAAAATTAAGCTACCCAAGTAAGAGTCAAAATTCTAAGTTGCTTTTAAAAACAAAATCATGTATGCAGTTAAATTTGAAATTAAGATCAGTTACTGTTAGAGACATTTACTTTAGATAAAAAAAAATGAAAGTATCCCAACTTCTAGTTTAATTCAGTAAAAGCTGTGATGGCTAATGGCAATTAAGTGAAAAAAAAATACATTTAAATAAATATTTACATATGGCAGAAGTTTTATTACTGTTAGAACTATCAATGCTGCAATCAACATGACAGTTTTAGTTTTATATTGACTGGTTTTGATGATCATTGAATAATACCTGCTTCCTTCTCCTAATCCAAAATACAAGAAAGTTTTTCTTATGATTGATCACATTTTAAACAATTTCTAGGAAAATACATTTGTATAAACTGAATTTAAGTAGTCATATATTTACATACACACTTTTCTCTTATTGACAAAACATGGTACCATTTTATTTACATGATCATGCTCATTTTGCTTTCAAGCAAAATTATAACAATCTATATTCAATTGCAAAAGATTTATTTTTGAAGACTACAAGGGCTGCTGAAAGTTCTTAACCCAACCCAAGATCTAACAAAATAACTATACAGCAGAATTGTTTTATTTACTTATTTATTCCTTCTTGATCAAGCAGAGAACTTTTCAGTGTCCACTACCATTTTGCCTGATGGGTTTTAGAAACAGGTTTAATGATGGATTTCACTTGAAATTTTTTTTATTTATTTTAATGAATTTTAATTAAATTAAAAAAATTTGGATAGTCTTAGCATTTATTTTATTAAAGTCTTTAAATATTAAATGTTGTGAAATTGAAATTTGATCTAATTAAAAAATGTTTTACAAAATGCTTACACTTTTCCAACAAAGTGGTCTGAGTTTTTCATTTGGAAAGAGTAAGAATTATTTTAACAATTTTTGTTTCATTGTTATAAATTTCATCTTTGCATCAAAAAAAAGGATGTTTTCAGTTTTTATTATTATCTCCTTATATTTTTCTTTAGGCAAGGGGCAGCAGAAGTCCGAAAACAAATCCATGCAAACGCTGTGGCCAATGATATACCAAAGAGTATCAGTGGGATAAATTTAGCTGTGGTAAGTATTGTTAAAATGAAATTCATTTGTTGAGAACTTGAGAAAATTTCTTTTATGGCATATGTAGTTGGTTATTTTTCAGCATGAGCTTTTATTCTTTTTTCTCCTTTTGAGCTGCAGTTTCTATTTAGCTAACAATTTTCTGATTCTATTAAGTCAGAATAAATCCTGAAATTATCTTTCTTTTTTTTTTTTTTTTTTTTTTTTAAATGTGTTTTAATATCTTAATTTTGTGGTAGCATTTATCTCACTTATAAAGCTCTGTTGATAAATGCCTATTTTTAAATTGATAAATTCTTTTCTCAAAAAGCTAGTATAAATATTCTCGTAAATTGTATGGTGGCTTTTCGGTGCCATATTCACAAGAAAATATGTAGCATATAATACATTGGGTTTTCATTAAAAATTACTTTACTCTTTCTTTATATGCCTCGTTGATTGGTCCCATTTTGAAAAAAATGAATTCCTATATGCAGTTAAATAGGTGATTAGTGTAGTTGACAAAAAATAATGGAACAAAAAACAAGCAAATTCAATGATCTGATCACAATATGAGAAGTTGTACCTGATTGCAATTTCAGGTATAATACACATGTTTTTATGTCAACCAGCTCCAGATAGTTTTAACTTTTGCACCATTTGTAACATTGCTAATTTATTTCTAAAATGTTTATCCAGTGCAGTGAACAGTAAATTTAAAGAAATTTACTTAATCAGCTCTATATTCTGTATATTATTTCTGTTTGCATACCGTCAATATGGTACAGGTACAGTTTTGTTTATTTTTCACTTTATGAAATTTTCTTTTTTTTTTATTTGTTGTTTTCATACAACATACAATACTGGCAGTTTGGGGTGGGAGTGTCATTAAACAGGTAAGTTGTTGAGTGAGGAATTGCTGTAGTTGAATATTTTCTAAATATTTTATTTACAGATTAGAAAATATTTATTTTATACACACACGCACTATTTTAAATTTTCATTAGTGGTTAATTAGAATGTTATTTTTTATTTATACAGCTGCCTCCTGGTGATATAGCAACACAGGACTTTGAAGATTTTGTATTACAACATCAAGCTACTATAGACAGAGATCCTTACAGACATTTATTACAATTTCCTGATGATGACATCGAAGTGCAACAAGTTCCAAGAATATGTCGGACACTCAAGCCTATCATGCCTGAACCCGAGTGAGATATTGCTGATTTACATAAATTTTATCTTGTTTGTCATTAGATAAATTTAAAAGCTTTTTGATAAACTAGAAAATTAAAAAAATTCTCTGTGTGTTGTTTTTTTTTTTTTTTTTTTTTGTCAGAGATTTTAAAAATTGTTCCATCAATTTCTAAATTTAGCTTCTGGAATAGCTATTTTTTTTTTCTCTCCTGAGTTTTATGAAAGCATTCATCTTTTTTTTTTTTTATACTTTGATTATAATTGTTACCAATTTTTTATTTATTTTTTTACCCACAGGGCTGAGACAGATCCACATGTTGTGGATTGCGTCAGGCTGTACACCTCAGACTATACAACTGTTGTACGAAAGTAAGAAAATTTTTTTTTCCCCCCACAAATTAAAACCCATCTTAAATTATCCTATTGAAATAAAAGATTATAAAAAGAAATGAATGACCAGGAATGGTTACAGTGATGGTCTATTAATTATGCTGATCTTTCTACACATGCAGCTAATTATATAAAAAAGTACTTTTATGTAACATTGTTTTTGAACAAAACTATAAGATAATTTCTGAAACAACATATTAAAAATGAAGTTTGACGAAGAAAAACTAGTTCTGAAGAAATAAAAACAAGAAGTATTTTGCAAAAATTTGAGGTTTATTTTTAATATTGCAGGTATGAAAAATACAGTTCAAGTGCATGCAACAAAGAGAAAATTACTGACAAGGAAAACTTTCCATTGCAAGAATATGAAATTGACGTGGAAGATGTTTTGGTGGAACCGGAGAAGGTGAGATTTTTTATGTATATTCTAAGTATGTATGTATGTATTTTTGATGTATGTATGTATGTATGTATGTATTTTTGATGTATGTATGTATGTATGTATGTATTTTTGATGTATGTGTGTATGTATGTATGTAACAAAACTTAATGCTGTTTTGTGGGAAAATATTTATTTTTCCCTAATTCAACTATACTTATAAATAATATGAGCCATATGATAGTTTTTCACTTCCAGTAGAAAAAATACATTTTACGTACATAAATGAAGATTATTACTTTTGTTGAAAGAAAAGAATGACTTCATTGTTTGCTAACAGTACAGTAGATATACAAGGTTATTTTACTTAAATGTTGTTTTTTTTGTTTTTGTTTTTTTCCCCCAGGACACTCCAAAGCGTCAATCTATGCAAATGAGTGACACACCTCGAGGTAGTTGGGCCAGCAGTATATTTGACTTAAAGCAATCACAAGCAGATCCTCTTGTAAAATCTCTTTTTGACAGAATCCCTGCTGAAGATGTGGACCGTAATAATGATAATCAGAGAAAACAAAATAGACAAGCTTCCATCTTCAGCTTGTATCCTTCATTAGATGAGGTTAGTTTTATTATTCCTGTTTTTGTTTAACTTGAATATCAGCTTGAATGATTTCAGTTGTGAACTGTACAAGAATTGCAGGTTACTATCTGTCTCCAATTTTTGAAAATTGGCTAAACTTGACTTATCTGAAGAAAGCCAGTTTTAATTATTAACCATGGTAAATATTAAAGAAAAAAAATCAGATTAACCATTTGTTTTTATGTATATGAACCCACTGTTAGTGGTCAGGATTTTTGCTATATATGTTGGATAATTTTTTTTTTTTTTTACATTAACAGATAAATGTTTACATCTAAGTATAAACTCCCCTCAATATTCATTTATTTTCTCTTAAAGTTTGCATTTTTAATATTTTAATTAATTAACATTAATAACAGATTGTATTCAAGCTATCTGTACGGCATTTGCATCTTTTGTCTTATGTATGGTTGATTGTAACAGCAATTAATCCTTTAAAGTCACACCCAGATGTGCCTGCAAGTTTCACATGATTGTAATCCAGCTGTGCCTCAATGTGTCTGCAGTTAGTTGGTACTGTATTTCAATACACAGTGTTAACACCTATTAAATGATCAATAAGAAGTGTCAAAAATCTACAACGTTTTTGAAATGTTGTAGATTTTCAAAATCATATCTCGTGACCAGTAATATCAAAGAGGCTAAATTTGGTATCATTTGAAAGAGAAATCAATTTATTTTCATTTAAAATCAACTTCTAATACTTGATTTTCAATGCTTTTTGAGATCTGTCAATTTAATTGCACTAACATCAAAGATTTTTCAACAATTTGGTCAGGAATCCAGGGATTTAACAATTGAAATTTGTTGAGGGCTGATAGGGTTAAACTTTGGCAGTTTTCCAAAGATATATCATGTATTTCTGATTCATTCTTCAGACTTCAAATAAGTTTTTACCAGGATATAGGTTTTGTATTTCTAGGTTGACATTATCTTTGCTATAAATAATTGAATTTGCTACCACAATCAAAAATCATAGAGATTGAGTATTGTTAATTTTTTTTGAGTCCGTGCTTTTATCAATTCATATTGTTCTGAAGACCTGAAAAAATATTTTGCTTAAAAGCAGTTGCATCATGATTCTTCTTTTATGATCATGGCTCCCTAGTTTTCTATTCTTTGTAGCTCTAAGTAATGTTTGTTTCCTTACTATACTCTCAGTCCTCTGCCATTGTATTTAAACAAGCTTGTTAGGTAGATCACATGCCACATTCCTCTGTCCCTCTTTCTTTCAATGTGTCTTCTGAGTATCAAATTCTCAAAGCCTTCTTTCCTGATATATCCCAGAAGTTTAGGCTGTTTCTTTCTAAGTGCAATTGCCCTTCTTGTTTCAGTACCCTTAAAACTTTTTTGTTAATAACATGCTTTATCCAATGGTATTCCTAGCATCTTTCTGTAAAACCTCATTTCTGTTGCCTAAAGTCCTCTCTTCAGTTGTGAAGAGACTGTCCAGCATTTATTGCCATATAGCAGTTGAGCACTTTTTTCTTTGTTTCTAATGAAATTTTCTTGTTTCCTAATATTTTGCTTAGCTTTTGGGAGGCATATTTTGCTATTTGATACACCTTACAGATTTCTATATCACATTTTCCATCACCTGTTAAAACACTTATGAGATAGTTAAATTTCTGTACTTGCTTGATTTTGGTATCTCTAATTTGTAGCTCACATCTTGGGATATACTTCTTGCTGACAACCATAAATTCTGCCTGCATACAATTGATGGTTAGTTCTTTCTTCTTGATATCCTTTAGTGTCTTGTCTAGGAGCTCTTCAGTTTTTTAATTTTCTTTTTGTGTCTGCCATCAACATGGTGTCACCTGTGTATCTTCTGTTGTAAGATTGTGTCCACCACTAATAAATCCTCGAAGGACTTCTAATTCTTTTAGTATCACCTTGCTGTAACAGCTAAATAAATCCAGTGAGAAAACATATCCTTGTTTTACAGTCCTTTCTATTTTTTTGTACTTGCTCAATTTATTTTCTTATTGAATGCAGATGATATACTTCTAGTAAATATTCTAGATTATTCTAATATCAGGTTTTCCTGGCAGTTCATATAGATCTTTGTCATGAACCTTATCAAATACTTCTGCATAGTCTATAAAACAAAGGTAATACACCGTTCTGCATTTGTATTGCTTGCTCTGATGACATTCTGATCATAAATATTGCATGTCTCCTTACTTTTGATTTTGATTTGTTGTGAAAGGAGCTGAAGCTGTATTTGCAATTCATGAGTAATGTGTATTTGCACTCAAAAAGTTTTGATACAAAGTATTTCTTATGACAGTTGTGTGTGTATGTATGTATGTATATATATATATATATATATATATATATATATATATATATATATATATTACAAAATCTCAAATTACTTTATATGTGCAATAGATCTATTTCAACCAATGAAAACTTTGTCAGTCTTATTCAACCCTGGTATATAGACTGAGTTCATGCTGTAATTAGAAATTTAACTGTGACAGTCATTGAAAAATTAATATAGAATTTATACTTTTCAATGTTTCGGTCAGATGAAATGCACAAGACAGTGATCAGGGGAGGGTGGAAGATATTAGCCTTAAAGGGAAGAGGTTTTATAAAAATTAAACCTGGACATTAACCTTATGACATTAAATTGGGGTTATATGAAAAATGAAATGTTAATTTCAAACTAAAAGAGGACTGAAAAAAAGAGTTTTATAAAAAACATTTATATAGATAAGGTTAGGTTTAAAAATACAAGTTCCTATTTAAAGTACTCTTCCAAAGATAAATTATACTTAAATAAAATATATTTAAAATATTAAAAATAATTTAGATAATTTATGTTAAATTTAAGTAAGAATGTATTTCAAAAAAATAATTAATAAAAAATTTGTTATATTAAAGAATAAAAATTTTAAAAATAAAAATTACTTTTACTATATATATATATATATATATATATATATATATATATATATATATATATATATATATATATATATGTGGGGGCACAGTGAAGTAATGGATTGCAGCTTGGATTGAGAAATCGGAGAGCCGAGTTTGAATTTCAATTAAATTCATGATATTCACTTACGTGTTGATACCCTTGGGAAAGGTATGAATCTCTCTCTTCCCTCCTATCTCATAGCTATGGGTAAATAGCAGGACAAATTGTGCTCTGTGGCCTTGGGTGGCAGCTGGTCTGAATTCAAAACCTGCAGGTAGGGGTGTCATTTGGGGGGACCCTGTGACATACTGTGCACCAGTTCTTTATATTCGCCTCTTCCAAAAGGTGTGGTTTGGTTTTGCATGAGCCTTCACTACCATAATCAAATGATATATGTGAGTAGTCTGGCTATTGGTTCTAAGAACTGAGCTGCTTGACCCACATATGCTAAAAATGAAGGGAAAGTTCAGTTTGTGTGTGTGTATAGTGGGAAAAAGAAAGATTAATTTGTGAAGCTCTCATTTGAATCTTAGTCACATTAGATAATGGCTGAATTGTTACTATTTCTGTCTTCAAACTTCATCCATATTGTTCGTTGGCTGAATAAAATTAAGAGTACTTCAAAATATGCTTTCAGTTTTATTTGTGAAATGGGAAACTACTGTTATTTCTAATCTTTTTTTTTTTTTTTTTTTTTCCAAAAATCATTTTGGTGAGTCTGAAGTGTTAGCTTTTGTGTTTCTCTTTTAGGATGAAATTGTTGGAAGGAGAATGCCCGCAGAGATGCCAAAGGAACATTTTGGCCACAGGATATTGATTAAAATTTTACAATTAAAGTAAGGAGATTTTATTACTAGATTTGTTTCTCTTCAGATTGCATAAGTTTACAAAGAAACCTTTTCAACTTGCATAATATGTAAATTTATAAAATAAACCATTTCAGTTCTTATACTAGTTACATTTTTTTTTTATTGTAATATTGTTGTAGACATTTCTGCTTTGTCTATTTTGATAGAAACAGAAAATCAGAACAGCATTTTATTTTATCATTGTTTAGAAAATAAATTTAATTTTCAGTATATGGCTTATATATATATATATATACACTATTGTTTGCATTCTTAGAAAAATATTACATCATTTTGACAAATTACAACTGGTAATTCTGATGTTTCTTCTTTTTAGGTTAGAATTAGAAATGGAACCTATATTTGCCTCATTAGCTCTCTATGATGCTAAAGAAAAAAAGAAGGTAAGAATTTGAAATGTTTCCACACTTGATTAACAATGACTATTTAGATTGATTGCATAACATTTAGAATAACAAAGGGTTATAGGAAGATTTTTGTTTTGTGTGTGTGTATGTTTGCAGTATACCTGTAAACAAATGTGGAAATAGTGATTTTATTCAACTTTTTTTCTTTTTTTTTTTTTACAATGATTTTCACCCAAGGTTCCATAGACACTTGAGATAGACCAGTTGTGGTAAGAAGCAGTTTATGGGAATATGTGGGAAAGATAACTGTTAACCCTAGACTAGGAAAGTGGTTGTAGGATGGAAAATAATTCATCATCCACAAGGATGTGGAGAAGCTTTTGGACTCTATCGAGACTGGAAAGTGAAGACTGGTTAACTCCTGCCCATATATGGACTCTATTTTCGGCCTGATCTGGTTTTTGTAAAGGTGGAGGATACCTGGAGGAGTCAGGTACTTACTGGAGTGGTACAGGGAACTGATTGTTTTTCTAGTATCTTTTAGCAATGGATTGTATGTATGAGTTCTACTTGAGGTCTGGGTGAGTTTGTCCTAACAGCTCCTCAAGGTGCAGGGGCTCTCTAAAAGACATTTTGCTTATATTTGTTCAAGGCTCAAAAAAAATTGATTATCCTGCAAATGATAGAACATTAATTTGGGACAACTGGTTATAGGATGCTGGGGTGATATAATTTTTTAAATGCTATTATATTTATTCCCAAAGCAACTGATTTCTTAAAATAAATAAAACAAATTTCTTCTCACCAATAGTGGTAGCCCCTTAATAGATGGAGCATCATGCACATGCAAAAATATAAACAAAGCTTTAGTGATTCTTTTTAAACTAGCAGATGAAACGCAAATTAAATGAAGGACTTAAATTTAGATGTTTTATTTATCACTGAATGTGTTAAAGATTGAAGTTTAATTGTAAGAAATAATTTTGCTTTAATAGAGAATGCAAGAAAATTACATTTGCTTTCTGTCAATTTCTACTTAAAAATACTAGGATGAACCATTAACAAAATATTTGTGTGTTATATTTTCTGCTTATCATAAACTAAATTGAAAATAAAAGGGAGAATCTTACTTACAAAACGCAGATTGTGTGTGTGTGTGTCTGTAACGTTTATATATTGGATCGGATTTCCTACATTTTTCAACCGATTTCAACAAAATTTCAAAGGACTACATAAAATTACCTTGTGGTGGTTCTAACAGTGCCAAAAATGTGAAAAATATAATTGTTTTTGCACAAAATCAATTTGAAAACATGATTAAGAGACAGTGTGAGAATGAAAGGGGGACAACTCACATCGGGTTGTTTGTGTGTGTGGGTTCCTTTAAATATGAGATCGGATTTCCTACATTTTTCAGCCAATAAAACAAAAATTCACTTTTTCTTTTTTTTTCTTTTTTTTGGCAGGTAGTGTTTCTTATTGTCTTGCACACTTTTTTCTTTATTTTTAACATTCAGAATGCTTTAAAAATTCCATTTACAAGACAATTGTTTATAATAAAATTCTATTCAATCGGTATGTTTTTGTTTGAGTTTGGGTTTGACCAATTCGTAAAAAAAACAAAACAAAAAAACCCCAAAAAAACAAATTAAGACATGCGTGTCCATCAACCTTAAGCAATAGTCTTTGTCAATTTTATTTTTCAGTCTTTATGATGGTGGATACTTGATCTATCTCTTACTGTTATATCCCTGGGCAACGCCAGGCTCTACTGCTAGTTTAAAATATGATAAACACAGAAAATTAAGATTAGTTACAATTTGATGTAGATAATTGTAATGCAAAATTCTTTTTGATAAAGACTTCAAAAAACTTTTTTTGATTATGATTAATTAGAATGCATTAATATTCTTTTATATAGAAAATGAAGTATAGATCACATATTTTAAATTAAATGTTAATTTTAATTAATGTTAAAAGTTACTCTAAGCATTAATTAATAAGAATATTTTTGTATAAAATTATTTGTAGTGATTTAACCAAAATGTTTAAATAAAAATAAAGACTTGATTTTTAAAAAAAAGGCAGTAAAATTTAACTAATTTCTTTTTGTTTTCATAAATGATAAATTTGAAAAAAACAACAGAAACATTTTGGTCTAAAAAATTTTCTGGTATGATGGTGAAAAAGTTACTCTCAAACCCCTCTATATGTCACTTAAATACAAAATTTTACTTTTCTATTCAAGCAAATTAATTTAAAAAGTTTTAATTTAACTTTATATTTCAAATTGAAAATAATTTGATTTTGATCATGTATTGGATTCCTGTCCATATGTCTTTTCCTTAATGACTTAATAATCATTTGACCTGTTTCCAAATAACAAGAATACTTTTTATTTTAAAGAAAATATATTTGCACTTAACATGATTAGGTTTTGTATAATAATCAGGGATTTTCTAATCAATATACTTGATTTTTAGTCTAAATTATGAAACTTGAAAAAAATTACTTTGCCAATTTTAGTTCTCCTTCAGTTCATTTTTAAGAATGGTTTTGCATTAAACATTTCTGGATGTTTTAATTAATCTAACAGTTTTACTCTTTATGTCTTTGTATATAAATTTCATATTTTGTTTCAAATACAAATTGATTATTTTCATTACAGATTTCTGAGAATTTCTACTTTGATTTGAACCCCGAATCCATAAATAAGATGATCAGTTTGCACATACCCTTCAAAGACCGGTCAACACGCAGTCAAAATGCTATATTCAGTCTCACATATCCTTCTCCAGATGTTTTCATTGTAATACGGGTTAGTTTGTCTTTTTTCCAAAAAGAACACTAGCATGCAGTAGTGGATCTTTCTCCTTAATTTTTGTACAGGTATTATTTTATGCAGATTATTTCTGTTTAACATTTCAACATACACACACAGACACACACTTTATCTTCAAAAGCTATGACTTACCTAATAAATGGATGGATCATTTCACAAAACATTTGTAAAAATATTTAAAGATAATTTAAAGAAAATTTTAATTTTAATTTGCTTTTTTTTTAATTAAGTTATTGCTGATCAAATCAAAAATATATTAACACTATATATACTATTACTTTTCTAACTTTAAGTATGTCAAAAACTCATTTGTTTAAAATTTATACAATTTCTTACATGCTAATTATCTAAAAAGAAAAATAACCTGGTAAAATTGATTTCCATAATTTTCTTGCCAGTTAAAAAAAAAGTTTTCTATTTATTGTATCATATGACAACACTTTTTGCACCACCTTTCAAATCATTTGCCTCATGTTGCTCTTTTTCCTCAGAAGTTTGTTTTTTTTCTCAATTTCTTCAAGTTCATTTAGAATCACAAATTTATTTAGATTATGATTTTTTTTTTAAATTTTTTCTGCAACTTTTGCTTCTTTCAAAATAGTTTTTTTTTTTTTCTTTCAGCTTGAAAAAGTATTACAACAAGGAGATATTTCAGACTGTGCGGAACCATATATGAAAGAAGACAAGGTCTGTATATAAATATATATATAGGAATTCTTTTTTATTTTTTATTTTATTCACAACTTTTGTTTGAATTTCATTATTCTGCTTAATCTTCAAAAATCACACAATACTGATGAAAAAGGACATATAGATCTATATTTCTCTTTCTGTGCAGAGTATTTGGGTGTTTTGCCTAGAATCAGTGTTGCTCCTTGGTCCATTTCTACCTAATTTGAAGCAGCAGAATGTTAGCATTGTGGTTATGTCACTTGCGTGCCTATCTCTAGAATAGGCTTGATTGACTTTATAGATATACTTCATTTAGCTTAAGTTACAGCGAAACAAAGAAACATATAGAAAAAAATGTCACACTATTATATACGAGTAGAATTATTTTCCCTAAAATCCAGAATCATTTAGTTTCTTAATTTATTGAACTATAAATTTGCACTTTTCTCATTTTTATTCAAATTGCATTCTGCTAAAAAAAAAAAAAAAGTTATTTAAAATTAATTTTAAATTGTGACTTTTTTTTTTTTTTTATCATTTCTATAATTTCACCCAAGCAATGTGATAAAATTCACTAAGATGCTAGGAGTTACTAAAAGAAATGGAAGACAATAAAAGAACATGATTCAAGAAGATGATGATTGACATTGCATTTATATTTTTGAAGATCATAGTTGACAGGAAAGCAAGAAACCAGAAGAGATTTCTGTGAGAAGTGCAGAAGAAACTATTAGCATAGAACTTAAGGTTTACAATTAGCAATTTCAATAGTGAACTTATGAGACTTAGGTACCAATCTAGTATTGTGTTTAAATTTGTGAAGTCTAGCTACTAAAGAGGAAAACTCATTAGAATACTCACTATGAAAATATTTATAGAAAAGGTACGGGGAGGCTATGTTACAGTTGTGGGAAAGTGACTGAAGCCGAGATTTCAATTTGTGAATTAAAAATGTATTTATATTTCCTTTAAAAATGCTTTAAAAAGATAGCTTCTTGTTTTTGGATGCATTTTATATTATTAAATTAATCTCTGATACTTAATTTCATCATTTTTAAACTATTTTTTCAAGGCTCATTTCTTTTCCTCTTGCCATTAAATTTTTTTTTTTTTTACATTGCATGTTTAGGAGTATTTACTGTAGTAACTTAATTTTTGTGTTATTCTTGAAAGCCATCATTTTCTTTTGCATATAATTATATAAAAAAATTGTAATTTTTTAAATTTTTCTTTTGTTGAACCATTCTTTTCATTCAGGTTAGAGAAGAAAAATACAAAAGTAATGCTGTCCAATTCTGTGAAAGGTTAGGCAAGTACCGGATGCCATTTGCTTGGACAGCCATCTATCTAATGAATATCATTAACGGTGCTGGCAGTTTGGAAAGAGATTCTTCTATGTCTTCAGCTTCTGAAAAATCAGAACCAGAAATGTCACGAACAGCCAGTCTCGGTATGTTCTGATTCTCTTATATACTTTCTTGATTAAATTTTTACTTTTCTTTTCTCTTTGCGAATTGACAGCCAGAAGTTTTTTTTGTCTTATTCTTTTGATGCTTTCTTATGGCTTGGAAATTTTTTTGTAGATTTACTATTTTGAAGCATGAAAGGAACTTTAAGCTTGGCTATATATATCAATCCAATATATATTTATATATGTGTGTGTGTGTAATATTTTTAAGCAGATTCTTGTTCCACAGTTTCTGTCACATTTCTATTATTCACCAGGATTTTCTCTTGCATCTATCTTTCCGTGCTGCACTTGGACTGCTGCTATGTTTCTCTTCAGCTTTATTCTTACTTTATGGAAAGAAATGTAAATTTATAGCCTTAATGAATTCATCTACTTCTAGTACATATTATATATTTGATTAATGGCAACAATTAGAAATGGAGTATAATTGAATTGTTATAGCATGGAGATTTTTATTCTTGACTTATATTTTATTTTAGCCTTTAAATATTTGATGCCATCATTGTTTCTTTCCTCTGAATGCTTTGTCTCACAGATTCTCTCTAATCACCTAACATAGTGGGTTTAAGAATTTTAAAAAGGTAAAAGATGTTTTATTTTTTCTAGTTATATCACCATAAATTGGCCTTTCTAGATATTACCTATATGTACCATTTAGTATTTTTTTTTTCTTTTTGTGTGTGTGTTTGTAATTTTTTATTTTGTGATGTTTTAATAAATATTTTTGTTCTGTCATGTCTGTTCTTAAATTTTATGTACTGACATACATGTGCAATGTATTGTTGATCACACTTATCATTTCCACACTGACTTCTTGTCTCATCCGAGATGCATCATCAGAATATTTCTGCTACTTTCTTCTGTAGCTGGAGTAAGTCAGATACTCTACGACTACTGTAAGTATCTCTGAGAAACTTAATGTGGTATCGCACATGTTTGTCAGCTATCAAGACAGTCGCCCCTTGCACAGCATAACTTCAAACAATCATGTGCATGAGAAGTGATCTCCCCTCACTTCAAAAAGATACACTTTTTACACTTGGATGTACTTTTCTTCTTGCAATTTTCATTTACAAATGAAGATAAGAATTTAATATTTCACTCTTTTTTATATATATATATATATATATATATATATGACATAAGAGTTGAAAAAGAAGGGGTTTATTATACTTAATATTTGTTTAAGTAAAAACTTCAGGGTTTTTTTTTTATCACCGAGATTGGAAAAAGTTATGCTTTAAAATGTAACCTTTGCTTGAGCATTTTTTCCATGTTGATCACAAAACAGCTTTACTTTTCAGAGTGCTGATGTAGGTGAAAAATTATTTTGGCAGTTTTAAAGTTTGTGCATGCTTGCATTTGTTAATAAAAAATTATCTGGGTGAGTTATACTATGTTTAAAAATTAATTGCTGGTTATTTTGTGCAGTAGCTTATCTAAGGATGTTTAAATTAGTAAGAATTTAGTCATTTCATTCTCTATAATTTTTTATCAATAGATATGTGCTTTATGTGTAAATTTGTTCCTTTGTAGCCACCGAAAATAGTTTGGAATTTGTCTGGCATACGCTTGTTTGGCTATGAAGAAGTAGAATTAGATAATCAAAATTTTAGTGCCTTTTGGAAAAGTTTTCCAAATTTTGCTGAGGTCATATTCTATCCAGCAATTTGTTACCTAAAAAAAAAAAATAAAATTAACTTGATGCTGCTATTTTTCTTTTTCCCATTTGCTTGTTATCAGTAAGTGTAATTTCCTTTCCCTTTTAGCCAGTATCTTTTTCTATGTACGATTTTACTACTTTTTAACTTTAAAATATTTTTGTAGGTAATATCTAAAATCATAGATTTTGGTTGAAATAAAGAAATTGATGACATTGATAGAAGACATCTGTGAAGAAGAAGCTAATGGAGAATTAGCAAATTGACTATCATACAAGCAATGACAAATCTCTCACTTTATCAAGGATAGGCACAGGATAGAAATGGTGTTTGAGAATCTTCAGATTAGTAGTTTGCCTAAAGAACTCAATCTGATAATTTTATTTTATTACGTTCCTTAAAATAACAATGATTAACGTTCCTTGTAAACATTATTTTGTGATCCAAAGAAAATGGTGCAGTGTAAATTGGGAAGGGGAGATAAAAGGCTTCACATTTTTTCATTGGAAATTGGTCACAAATTTTAATTTCTTGTATGAGAAAATTCCTTACCTAAATTAATACCTTTATTTTTTTTACTTTTACTTCTATTGCATGGGCAAAAATTTCAATAACCGATGTTGGTTGGGTTGTACCTTCTGAAATTAGTATAAATGATCTTGTAATTGTGTGTGTGTGTGTGTGTATATATATATATATATATATATATATATATATATATATATATATATATATATATATATATGTGGTAAGGAGCTTACTACATTAAAAGGTTTTAGAATATTGATAAAAAATGTATGACAAAAGAGTTGATGCTGACAAAACAATAGTTTTTGAATATTCCAATTTGTTTATTTCTTTCTTGTTATCATTTTATAAATTCTAGATTCTCTGAATGTTTATTTTCAACTTTCATTATATGAACCTATCATTTATCAACATTATCAGATCTTATTATATATGTCAATGTTTTCACAATAAAATTGGTATTAACCAATCAATGTTGGTCCTTTCTTTTCCAGATATATTTATATGATTAATATATTTTGTAAGTTTTGAGCATATAATGTCTGTTCTTATTAAAAATGTTTAACTTGTTTCTGGATGGTAGGTTTTGCTATCCAAACAAAGTGCAACCTACATTTTATTTATAAATAAATCCAAAGATTCATATTTGTTTTACATAATATCTCATATACCTGAAT